GAATTGGATTGATATTTTGGGAAAAGGAAATGGTTTCATGTACTGTCTTGTAGTCGCTTTAATCCGCAATATGAAAGCATCTGCCTTGTTTAGTCTTATCAAGCTTCTCCTTGAAACACTGTCAAATGGATCAAACAAACATATAAATTCAATGCAAAGATTTCTTCATTATGTCATTTTTTCGCGGGAATTTGTTCGGAAAGGTTTGATTACCAGTAGCCAAGTTTTCTATTTACGCAGTCGAGGACAGCAGCGGAAGCGGAAGACAACTCTCGATTCTTGTTCAACTGGACTTTATAAAGCGATTGAAGTCTCAGTAACTTTATGCTCATAAAACCCGCAAATTTGTTACCAGAAAGCAACCTGAATCCACCAAGAAAATGCCAAACCTTTATTGTCAACAGATTAGATTTGGTTTAACTCAAGAATCTCACAACATAAGCCTTTTTTAACTCACAAGTTTTCTGGTGACAAGACTTTGTTTAGCTCGGGTGGAACTACTCCGCTTAACTTATTATCTCGCAAATCCAAGAACTCTAATTTCACAAAAGTCCCAAATTCCTTTGGAATGTCACCAGAGAGATTGTTCTTGGATAGTATTCTACACAACAAAGTAAACAAGAATTGGTTTATAATTAGTTCTTGTTCTGTCCAGAAACAGAGTAAAAAGATTGATCAGTTAAAAAAAAATCCATTACAAAGATTTTAATCCACTCAATTGACTAATCTCAGGAGCTAAAGTTCCTCCCAAAGAACATCCACTAAGATTCCTACAAAAACAAAACCAAGAATTCATCAGAAGTTGCAACAAGAATCACAATAAGACGAATAATATATACGAAAAATCGTTAGGATGCCCTTTTGGCCACTGTAAACGTCTTAATTGGCAAGAATATCCGGTTTTCTACATGTCTAGGGGAATAGACCGAATTCCGACTCAGAATTCACCCCGATCATTTAGAAAGAGAAAGAGGAAAAAAAAGAAGACATGAACTTACAACATATGCACTTGATTGTCGACACAAGTTACACCAAACCAAGAACAGAAATGATCAAGATCAGAAACATTCCAATTTGCAAGAGTTCCATGAGGATCAGAATCAACTCTTGCCCGGAATTTCAATAACACATATCCTACATTGAATCAACAAGCAAATTAATCATAATTCAAAAACCCATTTATTTAACAAAAAAGCATAAAATCAAAGTTGTTTGTTTACCTTCAGAATTGAGGGATAATGAGGAACGAGATTGAAGAAGGGTAATGATCAAGAACATGAAGCAAGAAAATTGAAATCCAATAGGATTCCATCGACAACCCATTTTAGGTATACACCAATGCTATACAAAATCGCCAGATTTTTTCCTAAATGGAACAATAAATATAAAAAAAAAAAACCCAAACTTTACAGAATCCTCGGTAAGAGTACAAGGTTGATGATTGTTGAATAATCAGGGTCTCTCATTGTTTTTTTGCAAAATTAATTTGCACAAAACCCTAATCATCAAAAAATGTTCATGTAGAGTCAACAACTCGTTAAATTCTCTTCTTCTTCTCGTTATTATCTTTTTTAATACCTGCAAAAAAAAAACCCAACAAGAAACAAACAGACAAACAAAAATCAAAACTTTTTAAAAAGAATATGGAAAAAGTGATTAAAAGAAAAAAAAAAGAGAGAGAATAAGAATAACCCTCTTGAAGAAGCAATGTGAAAAGAGAATTTTTTTTTTTTTTTCCTCATGTAAATGAAGAACATTGCAAAAGTCGAAAACAAATAACCAAGAAAAAAAAAATTTACCTTAAAGAAGAAACTTGTTAACCAAGAATTGGGTAGGGTTTGAGAAATCAAAAACTAAAAAAAATAGAAAC